GGCGGCTGCGGCGGCTGCGGCGGCGCCCCCCGGGACCTCCGCGCATCTCCCGGCACGCGGGCCCTTCAGCTTCCTGCGGAGCCGCAGGCGGCTTCGCGGCGCCCGTCAGTGGCAGCCGCCTTGTGCTGCCCAATACCCCCGGGAAGCTGGGCACGGGCCTTGGCGCGGCTGCACCCCCGGCTTTCCGCCCGATCCTCCTGGCGCTTGGCCGCGGGGCTGAGAGGCGCAGCCCTGTATAGGGACATTAACTTTCTGCATCGGCAAGCAAGGAAATGCACCTCAGCTTGTAAGATGCTCTGCTTGTTTGTGCGGGGGAGAGGAGGAAATCGCTGCCTGTTCAATAAGCAGTACCTTTGGATGTAAGGTATTCCCCYGTGCACTGCAAGTACCTACGCAGAACAGAGTTTCGCTCTCCAAAAGGCTCACTGCTCACCTCTAGCAGCTGAAGCGCTCCGAGTGAGCATGAGTTCTTTTGCTAACAATTAAAGCCCRTTTATAATAGCCAAAAGCTGCCAAATGGTTTCTAAAATTGCATTCCACTCATCTGCACAAAAATACTGTCACGTACAAGCAGAATTCTGGTAATTCATGTTTAATATAGTCAGAGGAGCTTGTGAAACGGAGATTTATTGATGCGAATTTCACATCACTTGGAAGGATGAGTGTAATCTTTTACTAAGAGTTTTACGCGAATGACTGAATTTAGCTTTTGTTACTCCTGTAATGGAATTTTAACCCCTAGCAGCTAATTCCCCCGTGGAAGTCAGCTTGGGAAGCAGTATCCAGAACGGAGGCCTGGCTCTGGGAAAGAGGAGCAGTTTCTGATGCCGAGGTCTGGCTGTGGGAAGCCCGAGGCCTGGCGCGGACCCCCACCGCGGTTCCCAGCACCGCGACGCGGCCTGCCCGGCGCGCCGCTCGCTTGCCCCAGCCAGCTCGCCCAGCAAGACCGAGAAGGAGGCCGCACACAGGAGGCTGCTGCGAGGAAACATGATGTTCGGTTGCTCAGAAGGCAGCTGGGAACAGACACGGAACCACGGTGCAGGGTAGGATGCAGCACAGCAGGACGATCAGAGCAAACAAGAAAACATGCTCAGGAAAAAAGAAATAGATTCTCCTCTTGCTTTTATTAGCTTCATAGAATGTTGTGCCAGACCAATGAAAAACTGTGCTTGGCCTGTGGTCTTGGCAGGATCCATTACAAGAAAGCTACTTATTGTAACTTTGYGCACAACTGCTATGGGCTAGAAAGGGAAATTTTCTGCAGAGCCAAGCTTGTCAAAGGAGGCTCATTTATATAAACACAGTTGATGCTCGCCAAAGTTCTGGTGCTTTCTTCACCCTTTTAAAATATGTGGTCTTTCTTTTTTTCTGCCAGACTTTCATTTCCAAAGGCACATTCTCCCTCTGCCCTTCCTCACAATGAAAGTCAGTCTTCTAATTTACGAACCCCTCCATCCCCTAGTATCAAGCGAACAAACTCTTAACCTAACAACCCCTTGCGTGCCTGGTGTCCGCCCGCAGGGCTCGGGCTCCGCAGCCRCCCTGGGCCCGGCTAGCAGCAGACCGGGGTCACTACGTCTGGCTTCGGCAGCACGTCTTGCCCCGGACGTGCTGTGCACCCAAGGCTCTACATTATATATTTATATATATATATGAGCCTGGAAAATGCATTTGTTAAGGCATCATGCTTACCAGCACAGTGAGATTTAATCACATAATGATTAAATACTCTCTTGAGATGTCCAGATGAAGGTATCAGAAACAAATGCTATTTGCTACAAAAATTGTATCTAGGCCTTTCCTGAAGAATAACTGACTTCTGACAATTATTAACCTAAAGAGCATTGGGTTAAGTTCTCGTAGGCTCAGGAATATCTTCCCCTGATGCTGGCAGCCAGGTAGTCCTGGCTCTGTGAGACAAGAGTTATTCAGAAACAAGTTGCAGGGGCTCTACATTTTCAGTTGCATCTCTAGGAGGTAAAGGTACTGGGCATGTCAGAAACTGAAGCTCAGGTTTTTCATTTGTCATGTCTGACCACTTTGGTACACAATTTGTGTTTAATTCCACAATCATTTCTATAATCCAGAAGTTTGATTTTTTAGGGAGTTTAGCCTGATTTCAGGCAAGGGAGAAGAATCCAATAATGTCTGTAGATGCAATTTAACCTTGCTGGCTGCAATCTGGAAGTAGCATTTTGAAAAAAATTAATTCCAGTCATTTATATGTGTCATGCCCAGTGACAGGATTGATGATGATGAAAATTCAGAGCTGTATTAATTAAAAAGAAAAATTCATAACAATATATTGCAATGTTTTGCATATGACTGACTGCCACTTAGCAAGCCAGAGTTTGGTACTGTGCTCAGCAACAGCTTTCTGATGGATTCAAAATAATAATAATCTTGCCTTTAATATATTGCAGCAAAATGTTAAATGCAGATCCAAATACATCTATAAATTTGTCACCTTTGCTAACATTTATCAAGTCAAACAGGCATGTTAGCAGATCCACATATACCCATCTACCCATTAGAATTCATCTCCATTACAGCTTTTTACTGTTCTGATCTTTCACTAGGCATGAAGCTTGAAGCTCCCCTGACTATTGCAACATTACTCTCTGGAAAATGGAGCTGGAGATCAGTTTTCTATGGAAAAGCCTTAACAGGCATTAAGGTTCCCTCACATCACTCAGAATCCTCTCTCATAACATCCTAGCACTTAAGGAGATGCTAACACTAACCCCTGATCCAGTACCTACCAGTCACCTTGTTAAGCGTACAAGGATTAAGCYGAAAGCAAGGCAGAGCTTCCCGCACGGAAACATTTTTGAAGAGCCACATGGCTGTTACGAGCGTGTGGGAAGAGCCTCCAAGGGCTCCGGACAAAGGACTTCAACCATTCCCTGCGCCCTGGCAGCGACAGGCTGGCAGCGACAGGCTGCTCCGGGCGCAGCTCAGCCGCCCTCCCCTGCCCCGTGTCGGCCCTGGCGGGAGGCGGCTCCTCGCAGGGCACGCGCCGGCCGCGGGACAGGGGCACTTCTTGCGGCCTCCAGGGCTTCGAGCTCCCCTCTGCCACCCCGGAGCCTTCCACAGCTACCCCCGTCTGCCTGCCCCCAGGATTACGGTGGGTGCCACAAGGGAAACACAGGTGGCCCAAAGACCCTTCTCCTCCCCTTTTTTTATGACACCAGAATAATTTCAGGCTTCCCAAAGCAAAGTTACGATGCTTGTTTTACCTTCTAACCCTATTCTGTGAGGACTACGCTACCAGATTCAACTGCAAAATGAGAGCACTTTCAAAAAACTGCATCCTTGCCCTTTTATGAATCTACAAATGCACATCTAAATCAGGCACCTCTATAGTTACACTTTTCTAGGTATAAAGGCAGGTAGATCTCATTTGCACACTCCTCATGTCAGTTTTATTATACTTGACCTTCTGACTGGTTGCACTTTCTAGAGGGACTGACCAAAAATCCGCAGCATTTGGAGGACTTATTTAACTCAAAGAGTAATTTTGATTCTTCAGTGAGAGTTTTATTCATTACTTAACATGCCAATATTTGCAATAAACAATTTCAGAATAACTCATCATAGGCAGCCTGTAGAGCAGCAAGATGACGATGTTGTTCCCGGCTCTTCCAATCACCTCCTGGACAATTAGCATAGCAATATTCCCATTACTGTAACGGGCAGTGTGGAGTTGCCAGGCTGCTTCCAGAACCCACAGCAAGAGAAGACAAGTGGCTGGAGAGGATTATTTGGCAGTAAAATAGATAAGCAATAAAGGAAGGCCTGGATCAATACCTATCCCCTGTCAGGACGGCAGCAGTCCAATTATCCCTTGAAGATGTAGTCATAAATAAGCAACAAATAAATAACTAAAAGTAAATCAGTATGTCTGGATGATAAGACAAAGAAAAATTGCAATTTGCTGTAAAACTGAATTAAGTGTGTAAATCCTTGGCTAAATTAAAGTGTTATAGCACCTATGCTATTTGTGCCACCTGGAAGCTTGAACTTGACTCATGGCTCTAGTTTAACACCT